AGAAAACCACTGTGCATGTAGAACTGTTTGGCAAGATGTTGAAAGACTTTGGCCAACAACAAACTGGATCATCAGATGTTATGGTACACTACAAACTATTCTAAATTAGGCCTAGACAATTAAAGGGATAGTTCACCCAAAAATGAAAATCCTTTCACCATTTACTCAGCCTCTTATAGCTCTAAACCTGAATGACTTTCTTCCGTGGAACACAAAAAAAGACGTTTTGATAAATGTCTCTAGGATTTTTGTTCATACAATGGAAGTTACCATTCACCAAATGTGTTTGGTTAGTTTTTGTGTTCTGCAGAAGAAACTCAGTCATTCAAGTCTGGAACAAGAGTATGAGCAAATTGAGAAAATGTTACTTTTGGGTACACTTTGGGTTACTTTTCTCAGACACTTAATGTGGGCTAAAACTAATTTGCATGTACTAATTTAATCAAAAAATACTTTCCCTGCTGTTCTGCACTTGCCAAAAGCAGAACGTCTACAAGATTGTCTTCCAAAAAACATAGAGCACCACCTCTGCATCACCACATGAGGCAGAAAAGACACTTTATTTTAGGTGTCTTTAACTACTATGTAGGTTTTACTTTGAAAAATTGTTAGGTACAATGCATGTTCTAAATAAAATACGTTTGCAGCTATTTAGATGGGATACAGGTACGTTTACAGGTTTAGTGTAATTATAATTATATAACTATAAATGTAATTACAGACATAACTAGAAACTAACGCTATGAAGTAATTACATGCATGAATTTAAAATGTAAGTACAGCATGAAAATATGTATGTACAATGTGCATGGGATCAATTTAATGATTTTAAATGTGAATACCTAGTTAAAAAAAAAAAAATAAATCAACACGTTCCCTGGAAATGAGTGGATGCAAAAATCATATGGAGAGTGCTGGGTTGAATTAAACATCAGCACCCTACCCAGCATTATAGATTTCTGGCAAAATTTTGGAGGGATAGTAATGACAAATGACAAATAAATACATTTAAACATAGAAATACATTGTTTTTGCAGTATCTCTTGGGGAAAGGCCTAACGTTACAGTGACAGAAATCTGTTGATAACACTAGCAGCAGGCCACAAATATACGGGGATACCAGCATCAAAACACACATTGTATGACCCTGGACGATAAATGTGTGACTTGAATAATAAAACAAGTGAATTTATCTTACAGTCATTGTTCATTAAATGTTTTATACTCTGACAAAACGCAACTGGGCCAACGCCATTTTTTAGAGTAAATAGCTGCTAGCGATGTTGGCTAACTAGCCATGTTGTGGCCTTTAACTGGACTAGAATAAGATGTAAGCAAAGCAAGCCAACACTGAGTTAGACGAACTGACACGAACACAGCATGTTGCCTTTTCGCTCAACATCTCATGCTAATAGAAAGCAGAGATGCTGCTGTTGTTATTGAGACAGACAGCTGATATGAAGCAACGTTTAGCTTGCTTGCTAGCTTCCCCCACCCAGTGGAAAACAAAAGACCGTGGCAGCCTCATAACCACACACCGCTGCCGTGACATGAAGCCCACGATTAGGAATTAACTATATGTATGTGATAAGAGTTAGCATGAGGCAGATTGAGGGAAAGGCAGAGTAAAAACAAAGGCTGTCATTCCTCCCACCCCTCGCGCCTCTGCTTGAACCACGTCATTGACTCCAACACTGCGGAAATAACAGACTCGCTGTCGCTGCTTACCCGTGTCTCCGATTATGATGTATTTGAAGAGATACGCGTACGCCATGGCCAACCGGTCCTGTATCAACCTGTTCTGGCCTTACTAAAATGGCTCCTTGAAGCTAAAACCGCAGGGAAAGCGTGTGTGAGATATATGCCTCCGCTAAGCCAGCCCTTTTCTCTCCTCGACGGGAAGGAACAATAAACACCTCGAACTCCAGCCGGTCTACGTCACACGTCCCGCCTTCGCCACGCACACAGAACAGAAGAGGTTGTGGATTTCACCGGAAGTTCGCTCACCTAACCGCTATGTGTCAGGTCAATGTTCGCCGACAGATAATTGTGTCATTAGACGTTAAGGTTTTAATGTTTGCTAGACACAGAAGAATAATTACCATTCCAAAGATTCAAAGACTCATTGACCTCTCGAAACGTGATCGTGAATGAACTCCTGAATCCTGAAAAAGCAAAGCTATAGAATCATTTGATTTAAATCAAATATTAATCAACTAAATTTGAGCACTCTCAGAAAAAAAAATGAGCAAAATTGCTTGTCCTTGGGGCAGTAGCTACATTTTTAAGGAATAGGCTACCTTGTTCCATATTTACCCCCAAAAGCTTCATAGTAGCCTAGTAAGAATTAAAAACATTCATTATTTTTTAAATGGACATAAATATTATTGTTAACCATTTATCTGTGCATTTTATTTTTATTTTATTTATAATTTTTTTCAATATTAAAAAAAAATTAATCAAAATGTCTTCTCCAATCAACAGGTGCTTCTTAATTAGAAGGCTGCATCCTAGTGGGTCGACCTCCTTTGTCCAGACCTTCTGAGGCTTGTGAGCTAGAGTCCTTCTAAGCATTAGACACTATAGGCTGCAAAAATTATCAGCCGGAATTGGGAACACTTCCTATAATTCCAAATGTACTCATCATAAGTAATCAGTTGACCAGGCTGTAACCAGATCAGATGGTGGACCTGTGCCCAGACATGACCACAATGCATGATGTAGTCAGCCGGATCCGGCCGTATTCAGATCAGATGGAGGACCTGAACCTAGACACGACCATAACACATCCCTGAAGTGTCAGCAGAGATTGTGTCAACTACTCTCCCCTGTGAAGGCTTCATCGTCACGACAGCCATCGGCACTGATCCTCAACAAACCCGATGGGAGTCAGATGGAACTGGATAATATTCTGATTGTTTCAAACCAATCTCACTTCTGAGCCATACTGTTGCCTGAATCATAATCAGACTGTTCACTTGTTGGCCCCCCGACTGAGCCTGGGTTCTCCCAAGGTTTTTTTCTCCATTCTGCCTGATTTTGGCTCCTTGCCACTGTCGCCTTTTTCCACCTTTGTTGCCATTGGCTTGGCTTGTTGGTGACATTAAATTTGACATTTAATTTGATATTCAACAATAATATTAATCTGCCTGTATTGACACTAGTATTTGACACTCCAACAACTAAGCTGGACGATGACGTCACGGTTTACTCCAGAGCGGCTATTAACTAAATTAATAACTTTTTAAAAAAACAAAAATGAAACATCACTGAACTTACTTAAGCTGGACTGTGACACTATTTTCTTCTGGAAACAAACTTTTTTGCATTATTTTCCTGTTATTTCTGTAAAGCTAAAGAAACAATCTGTATTGTAAAAAGCACTACTGTATATAAATAAATGTGACTTGACTAGAGCAGGGGCAGTGGCCTAATAGACAGAGTCGGACTTGTAACCTGAAGGTCGCGTGTTCAGGACCAGCAGGAAGTGTAAGTGGGGTTGAATGCACCGGGCTCTCTTCCACTCTCATTACCCACAATGTCTGCCCACTGCTCCGGTGTGTGTTCAATACTCACTGCTTTGTATAAGCACTTGATGATGGTGACTATGGAACACTATATGTATATCACTTCAGAATGCGACGTCTAGTCAGTGTTGCTATGACATAAAATTTCCACCTCTGCAGTCATGGCACAAAAAATACTATCAAAATTGTGGTTAAATACTTTGTATTAAAAATCTTGAAATTCACTCATTTACTATAAATGCAATACAGTGAATTACAACCATCTGTGGTCTCCAAGTAGTTTACATCATGGACAGTTTGGGATTAAGTGATTAATTTACAACAAAACAAAAGAAAACATAACACCATCTCCAAAATATATATATTTTTTGTCTTGATATACATAATGAAATTGGCCAGCTCAGTGCTGCTTCATTTTTTTGCTGATTCTTTATAGTGAATTGGAATGTGTGCAAAGGATTGTGGATGACTGGAAGATGACCTTGCGTTCACACCAAAAATCACGGCAAAATTCGCTCTTGCCACCCTGCCAACGACGCCGTGAAAAGATTCCTCCGTTTTGTTTGAAAATACTTCACTTAGAGCACCTTTAATCATATAGCTTTCTGTACCAATCCACTTGCATTCATACTCTGAGGATATTGTCATGTCTCATTATGCCCACTAGAGGACAGTGCTGTAATCTGCTGAACCAGGACTCAAACAGGACATCTATTGTTCATGAATAATTATTCAAAGTATTCAAATGATTGCCCAACATCAAACCACCCACACCATCTGGTACACTAATAGTGCTCATGTTTTGATTTCAGTGAATGCAGATTTCCTGATATATCCAGTGAAATATAGATGCAATATAGAGGATGCTGAGGTCACGTGACAACCCTGTTCTTGTCCCTGGGCTTTGGGGAGTAAAACGACCTACTTATAATTAATTAGGTAGTGATTGCACTTTTGTGTAATGTGGTGCCTTTAATTTTAGAAAATTAGGGTCAAAGTAGTTTCTTAGGATAGAATTCAAGACAATGCACCATAATGTTCACCTCCTCCGGTTGTTACTTTTTTTATCTGGGTCAATAAGTGCATTCAGGAGACTTTCATACATCCGTGTTCATGATAGCATAAGATACATTTGCCGAGCAGATAAAATATCAAAGTATTGTTGAACTGAGAAGCGATACAATTTGACTGTGCTGACAAAAAGCAAGGTCATCTGTAAACTTAAAGTTGGTAAAAATGTAATTTTGTTTCACTGGTGACCAGGAAGAACACAACCACCAGCCAGGGGGAAGCACCGTACCGGCCCCTCTCATCCTTACCTTGAAAACCCTATCAGTAATGTGCCAAGCAAACAATAACAGACCTTTCCTCTCTTCAGTCTTTAATTCTTCACCCTCCTCCTGGTGGGTGTTTTTTTAACCACACCCATTTCCTCCATTGTGGGAGGAACTGTCCAAGAGCAACATCACTCCTGCATTCCTGCCTGTGTGCACTGTGCTTTCCCGTGGCCTGACTGTAAACCAGTACAGACTGCTGAGAGGTTTCTATGGTGCTACATCAGAGGCTTAAGAGTCACTGCACGCAGCCAATCAGATGACTTGTGGGGGAACCTTGTGGGCTGTAGTATCTAACAGAATGAGTTTGTGAACTTACTTTTGGTGTGCTCTGTAGTTGATACAGGGCGGACAGCTTTTCTGGAAGAGAACAGGAGAAGAAAACTCACAATTTTCAATGGAATGACAAGTGTTTTTTTGGTGGTTGCAATCTCACCGTGGACGACGTTGTGTCTTTGAAGCTGTTTCATTGTTATAGACCAATTTCTTCATGTTTTATGGGTGGGAAGTGATCAACCTTTACAGACTTTACATTGAAAACCAGGCCAGAAAGAATTAGTTTTTGGCATCTGCTCAGGACAGAACGCGAGAAAGCCATAGAGGAAATTCAGTTGCCATGGCAGATAATGTTATTGAAGAGACCGATAACTACCCTGGCAAGGATGAGCTGGAATGGGGCTATGAAGAAGGTAGGACTCAATGCGAGAATCACTGCTTATCCTCCTCTTTGTGAAACATGAAACTTTATTGTCACACCCATGATAAACAAGCCCGTCTCAATTAGGCTATGAACAATATATATATCTATATAGTGAATTTAGGGAGTCTTTAAATATTCAGACAATACTAGATCGCTGTGATCTGTCTCCTTTTCAACAATGCTCCATGTGGCCACTTCTAATTTACAACCAATTCAGATCTTTCTTTTCTTTTTTCTTACAGTGAATCAGTGCATGTTTTTAGCTTCAAATGTATTTTTTATTAAATAAGTGCATAAATAAACATATTTAAAGCATAATTGTATAATTAATGTTTATTATGTGAAAATAGCAGAGTGTATTTAGACCAAGATTTTTCTTTTTGTGTGAAGAGTCATTTTTCTAAGCGTCAGTTTGTCTAATCTCTATTAGTGTTAATCTACAATGAAACATGTTTACTTATAGTGCAATTTTAGATAATAAAGCAATTGCTTAGTGAAGAGTAAACGAAGAGAGGAGTAAGTAATACATATACACAGGGTGATATGAAAAACAGCAGAGTAATGAGCACATCCTGTATCCCCCTGTGTCTGCTATTCCTGTTGGCCCCTCAGTAATGACTTTGAGGCACTGGAGCTCTAGCTGTCCTTATTTAGTTTAAACATAGAGACGTAAAAATGGACCACTGTTTGTATTATCTGTGTGGCAGCACCAAATATTTCATAGCTACAACGTTTAATTCAAGGTTGAGCAACAGGCAGTGGGTCATGAACAAGGACACTGTTATCATACGCTCAACGCGAGATGAGTCTTCTCATGAGATAAATGCATTAAAACAAAATGTTATCACCATTCCACGGTCGACAGAATCAACCTTTTTTGTCTTTTGTGAATGAATCCAGGTGTTGAATGGGGTCTTCTGTTTCCTGAGGCAAATGGAGAGTACCAGTCCCCCATAAACCTTAACTCTAGGGAGGCCCGCTATGACCCGCGGCTGCTGGAGGTGGGGCTTAACCCCAACTATGTCGTTTGCAGGGACTGTGAAGTCATTAACGACGGTCACACAGTGAGGATCTTGCTCAAGTCCAAATCAGGTATAGCATGCTGAAAGGTATCTCTGTGTTTTAAATTTAAAGGGATAGTTCACTAAAAATAAATAATCTCCCATTATTTTTTCATGTCATTCACAACTCGTATGTGTCATTACTATTTCATTGGAACACCAAAAAAGTTGTTGGATGATAGTTGACAAAAATGTCAATTCCAAAAAGTGCCATAAAAGTAGTCCACATTACTTTATGAACTTTCATTTTGGGGTGAACTAGCACTTTCACAAAAGTCTACAAAAAAGTTATAAGGTGTTTTGCTTTTCTAGGTCACCGAGAGGTTAAAAGGCATAAATCTGCTGTCTGTGAGAAACCTGTATTGTTTGTCAAATCAACCTGTTCTCTCCCCTTTCCTGTGACCTGTGAATGCGGTCTCAGTTGTGACTGGGGGTCCTCTCCCCAGTGACCATGAGTATGAACTGAGTGAGGTGCGCTTCCACTGGGGAAAGGAGAACCAGAGAGGATCTGAACACACTGTCAACTTCAAGGCGTTCCCTATGGAGGTCAGTGTCACTCCATATCGAGCATTTGCTTTTATTGTTCCTCTAAGTCACTCATACATCCCGACGTCTAAAAAAAAAGTCTGTTTCACACTGCACACATATATAGACAGCAGCACATATTTACTTAGGGACCCCTATTAAAGGAGTAGTTCACTTTTCAAAAAACTTCTGCTGATAATTTACTCACCCCCATGTCATCCAAGATCTCCATGTCTTTCTTTCTTCAGCTGAAAAGAAATTAAGGTTTTTAATGAAAACATTCCAGCATTTTTCTCCATATAATGGACTTTATTGGTAACCAAACGGTTCAAGGACCAAAAGACACTTTCTGTACAAACTGCGAACTGATCAAAGGGATTTAAACGATTCCAGACGATGAATAAGGGTCTTATCAAGCGAAAAGATCGCTCATTTAAAAACAAACAAACAAATTTTACGTTTTATAAGCTCAAATGCTCGCCTTGCTCTGTTCTGTGATGCACGTTCGTGACTCTCCTGTTCGAACTCGTTCATCAAAATGAACGAATCTTTTTCTGAGTCAATTCGTTCGTTTCGTTTGTTGAATGAACCAAATGACTTGGAAAAATATTTGTTCATTTTGATGAACGAGTTCAAACAGGAGTCACAAACGAAACGTGCGTCACAGAACAGAGCAAGGCGAGCATTTGAGCTTATAAAACTTAAACTTTATTTATTTATTAAATGAGCGATCGTTTCGCTTGATAAGACCCTTATTCATCGTCTGGAATCGTTTAAAGCCCTTTGAACAGTTTGCAGTTTGCACTGAAACTGTCTTTTGGACCTTGAACTGTTTGGTTCCCACTGAAGTGCATTATATGGAGAAAAATGCTGGAATGTTTTCATCAAAAACCTTAATTTCTTTTCGACTGAAAGACAAGAAAGAAAGACGTGGACATCTTGGATGAGGGGGTGAGTAAATTATCAGCAAAAGTTTTTCAAAGTGAACTACTCCTTAAACAGTATTCACATTGCATAAGCAATAAGCCTTTTTTAGCAACAAAACAAATTAAATGGCAACCTCAGTTCATGTCAAAAACAACAATACCACATGTTCCAATAAAGGATTTAACATTAACTCATCTATTCAAATCACCTGTCTCTGGCACCTGCTCTCCAACTCCTGCTCTTCTGTACACAAGGAGAAAGATAAGGGCCTGTTCTCAATGTGTCACCATGTTTGTCAACCTGTTACCATGTTGCGGTTCCTCAAGTTGTTGGCAATTGCAAGTCAAACCAGTCTTATAACCGGACACGGAACTGACATAAAATAATCACCTTCGTAATGTTGCATACTTTGTAGCTATATGTTGATTTTAGAGTTCTGTTTATTGGAGATCCCTCACAATTAGCAACAAATGTCTCTCGCAGCTTCATCTAATCCACTGGAACTCTACATTATTCAACAGCGTGGAGGAGGCCATGGGCAAGAAAAAAGGCATTCTCATCATAGCCTTATTTGTGCAGGTATCTTTCCCATATATTGGAGGTCATGACAAATACAAAAATCCCAAATCACGTTGGGTAAATAAACACGGTATTAATAGTGTAAACATAGAAAGCCTTTAAAGAGACAAAGTCAAATGTATGTCTCTGATCATCTTGCAGTATATCATGCTCAGTTTACACTGGTGCTCTGTTCCATGCAGGTTGGGAAGGAACATCTTGGGCTGAAGGCCATCACAGACGTCCTGCAGGACCTGCAGTACAAGGTGATCAGAAGAGCTGCCTTACTAGAGACTAAAGCCAAAAATATGACACGTACACTTATGACTAAAATGCATTTTTGTCTGTACAGGGAAAGACAAAAATAATTCCATGTTTTAACCCCAACACATTACTTCCTGGTAAATGATTTATTCATAATGATATTCATATCATACTGATATTTGTCTATTTTTAGCTTGTTATGATTCTGATCTTTTCTGACTAGATCATGATATCCTAGTTAAAGGTTATCCGTTTGTATCTGACTGTCTCCGTTGGTTTGCGTACCTCCTCAGATCCTCTCTTGAGAGATTACTGGGTGTATGAGGGCTCTTTAACCACACCACCCTGTAGTGAGAACGTCATCTGGATTCTTTACCGTTACCCCCTTACCATCTCTCAGATGCAGGTAATATCTTTAAACCTGTTATTAAATATTATTATTACTATATTATTAGAACTATTGGCGAAAGTACCCGGATTCTGGTGTGTTCCCATTGCAGGAACTAGAAACGATTTTAGTTCTAACTCCTAATTTAGCTCCCACTTCAGAGTAGGGTCTGTTAGAGCACTCATTTATACGAATCGACTAAAAGGGGAAATCAGAAACCGACTTTGACGTGACTTGAACTAACTGGGGTTTACCACAGCAATATAGGCTACATCATAAGGTGAAGAACGATTTATGCCTTTTGTTTGCAACTTAGATTATCTTTGATCTCAATGACTGCAGAGCAGGATCTTTCAAGTAAAGGCCAGTCATATAGAGAGTATGATGCAAAGATAAGATATGAAAATGGGTCAGGGTCTTATATGTGTCTTATATGTGACATAACTTTTTTAAATTATAAATTGTTTCCTTCTTAATCCTTTAGCGTCACATAGAACGCTATATGACAAAACGGTGCTATACTACGCACATGACACCCTTTATCGTTAATATTCACGCGAACCCAAGGCGTCATGAATCCTTTAGTGTAATATGAGACTACCCTACCCAACACCTAAACCTAACCATCACGGCGCGTGTTATATTAACGATAACGGGTGCCATGTGCGTAGTATAGCGCCATTTTGTCATATAGCGTTCTATATGACGCTAAAGGATGAGAATGCGTTGGTTATCCACATTTTGTACTTGTATGGGGTAATGATATGACCCTGCTTATGTTATAACTTCAATAATAGCATTAGAGAAAGAAAAGATAAGAAAATACTCCTCATGTTTCTAAAAGAGATCACACCCGTGGTCCAAATTCAACACTCACACCAGATGTGAGCAAAAAGTGACATGGGCCAGTAAAAGGAATGGAGTTATCCAGCAGTTGGCTGGTAAATTTTTAATGGAACCATCCAAGCATTATCCATTTTTAGTTGAATTGCAAGAAGCACAATCTGACTCTTGCTGATGTTAGAGTATATTTGAAATTGAACCATGTGGACACAGATGTGGAATATTCCTTAAAGCGATACTCCACTTTTTTTTGGAAAATAGGCTCATTTTACCACTCGCCCAGAGTTAAACAATTTACCGTTTTCAAATGTACTCAGCCAATTGTCTGATATTTAGAAGAATATCAGTAACCAGACAGTTTCAGGTCTCATTGACATCCATAGTAGATTTTTTTTCCTACTATATAAGTCAATGAGACCAGAAACTGTCTGGTTACTGATATTCTTCTAAATATCAGAAAATCGACTGAATGGATTCGAAAACAGTAAAACTCAATTGTTTAACTCTGGGGGAGTTGTAAAATGAGCCTATTTCCAAAGAAGTGGAGTATCCCTTTAAACTTAACAACCTAAACTAAAATATAAGGAATGATATCATGATGACAGGCGCTAAAACTAAGGCAAATGGTACACTTATCATCATGAGGACTTTCAACAGGCATAATAGTTTTATACATTTTAATATATATTTGTGTTAATTTAGCAATTTCAATTATGAGGATATATGAGGACATGTGTCCTAATGATGTGTGAAACCTGAATACACACTGTGGTCCTCATAATGTAGGTCAAAACACACACACACCTTTTTCTATTGCTTCTACTTTTGCTTTTTCTCGTTTTCTGCCACAGATTGAGGAGTTTCGTCGTCTTAGGTCCCACATTAAAGGAGCAGAGATTCAAGAAGGCAATGACGGGATGCTGGGGGACAACTTCAGACCCACCCAGCCCCTGAGCGACAGGGTGGTCAGGGCAGCCTTCCAGTAAAACTCCCACAGCAGGATCCATTTTAATCTGCCATGGGTAAATTTAAAGGAGATTGTATTCTGTTCTTTGTTTATTCAAGCGGAGCACCCTCATTTGAGCATAATGCCATGGCTTACGTATGACTTTGGCTGCTCTTTGTAAAGGAGGAGTTAGATTAGGTTCCTCACATTAGCTGATTAAATGTCTCATTGTCTGGATTGGGGCAAGAGCCCACCTGGATTTTAGTGCAAAACTGTTATTACTTCCAAAATGATAGAAAACAGAAAATTAATCTCCATATGACCATAATTCTGACCAATAACTGTACAAAAGCTCATGCTTAGTGTGCATTCATTTAATGGAAATAGGCCACGTTTTCTTAAAAGTATAAGCATCAATATGCAATAGAGTGCTGCAAGGTTGGAGCAATACAGTAACCTAATTTCTACTGATCTAGGGCTTTCTGAAGCATTGTGTATAGATCTGTCTATTTCTAGGGCTCCCAAGGGCACACCTGGGTCTGCACACATATTATTCATTTTGAAATGAGATTTTGAGCAGGATAATTTAGGCCATGATGATGCAGTGCTACTAAAAGCGGCTGAAGATGTAACCAGAGTAATCTAAAGTATTACTTTGGCAATACTGTGCTTCTATACTACACTTCTGTAAAAAAAGATGCTTTATCCCATAACCTTTATTGATAAATAACCATGTTTCTAACAGAGAATTTCAGCAGTGTAGAAGGATCCTACACTCTCCGTCATTGTCATTCAAGTTTTCTCCTTAGTTTGTTTGGGATTATGATGAAATAATGTTATTCACCTCCAATTTGATTCACATAACCCGTAGCCATGAGCTGTAAACACCACAATAAACAAACAAACAAAAAACCTTCAAATAACCTCATCTCCCACTTCCTACGTTTTATATAACAAATTTCCAACTAGGTCAAGTATGTTGCAATCGTCTTCAAACCAACTGCCAGAAAATCAGACTAAAGTCAGGATGTAAATTAGCTGAACAATTATTAAAGCCAACAACAATTATAAGTCACTTCACTAACTGCATTTTGAATGTGAAAGTATCCTCTATTACGATGCAATTTAGTAATGTTAAAACTGCTTTCAATTATATAACTACTTTTCACTTTTTTGGCTCACGTACATAATTATATCATCACATATACACACTTTCCATTACTCTTACCTGTCTTTAATTCTTTTCCCCCTCTCTCTATACCCCCCCCCCCCCACACACACACACACACAATGAACACACTACCTTCTCTGTGCTAAGCAACAGAGAGCACATGCATGACAGGCTGATGGAGTCACAGTGAGATGTTGTTCAGATGTAATGGATAGCTAATGGTCATGTGACTGCCTAACAAATCAGCAATGTGAAGCTGGAATGAGAAGTGAGGGTCCACACATCCGTATTCTCTTCCTTTTTCCACCCTACTATTTTATAACTCTTAGAGAAAAAAATTCCCGAACATGTTAGTTATAAAGAGTCACTGGTGACCGCAGTCATCCCAGATAGCAAATGATATCTGGCCCATTTGTGCCAATAGCATAACTTGGTCTCATCTGGGCCACTTATGGCATATATGGTTCAATTCTGGCCGCGGCAAAGGTCACATGGGCCACACACAGCAACTCTCACTAAAACCGGCTTGATGTGTATGGGCTAGATACAGCCCATTTGACCTTTGCCGTTGCCAGAACTGAGCCATATGTGCCATAGTTGGCCCAGATGAGGCCAGGATATGTATACTATCTGGGCTATCCCTACAACAATATCACACTTACTTACATTTCATGTCCCTAGGCTAAATTACATGCTTATGACTAAGGGTTTTTCTTGGCTAAAAAGTAAAATTCTGAACATATTTAGACAAATCTACTGAATCCTATCAACAATAGATTTATTTGTGCATAAAAAATTACACGTACTGCGCAGTTTGTGTATTTGTGCGTTTTTTCGGTGCATGGATTTGTAATGTGCATGTGTCCAGTCATATGCATGATAGCTGTTATCTTTACACTCTGCATAGGACCCTTGAAATAATGCTGTCTGCTGTGAGGTTCAGACCACAAACCAAACCAAAAAAAAAAAAAAAAGAAGATAAAAGCTTTATTATTCTATTTATTATATATTGTATATACTGTATATTACACTCTGTATTAAACATATACTACTTCCATGCATGTAGTTTGATCTAATCCCTTTTTTTATCTTTCAGAAATTAGATATGTTGAAGAAATAGAGACAAGGGCTCTACAATGTCCTGGCTAAAGTGAAAGTTCATCACTTCCTGTAGACGTGCGTGGGCATCATTTTATAGTTGAATGTCTTGAGTATGGCCCTGGTGTGTGCAGATGTTGCTTTTACCTTTCATTTGAAACAAAATTATTCTCAATTTCATGTAAAAAAAAAAAAAAGAGGAAGCCATTGAGTATGAAAAGACACCCTGTGTGATAAGCTTTTATAAGGAGGAGTGAAGGACCATAACGCTAGATGAATATTGTTTGAACACTGCAGTTTAACAATAGGTAGCATGTGTGTAATCCTATAATTGTGGCTTTATAGGAAGATAATGTACAAGATTGATACAGGATGTAGGCAGACCCGTTTCATACAGTTTTATATTTGATTATTTCTGATACTCTGATAAAATGTAATAAGTTTAGTCATATTAGAAGGTATTTATGACTGTACATTGAAGGCTTTTAAATACTAGAATTGAAATAAATGTATGCTGTTGAATGAACTGATTAAAGACACCAAGATTGGCTTCATGGGTGTTTTTTTTCTCCACCTGCTCTATGTTGTATGAACAGAATATGAAGGACTGTAGGGTATATTAACCTCTGTTTAATGTTTGTTTTAGATTTGTATTGATAGTAGTCTGTGTGGAGATTGTGTCTCAGCAGATGGCAATAACTGGTCTTTTGTTTTTTCATTATCTTGCTTTTTTTTCAATAATGCGGTACATCTCTAGTGCAAGAAAAAGGAAATGATTCATTAAAAGATATGCGTGTCTGTATTATTTCTGAAACCTGACAAGACTCTTCTGTTCTCGTGGGAAACCATGTTTAGGTGAAAAGAATTGCTTTTGCATACCTTGAAAAGTCCCTTGTCATCATAATTATTGTCATATAAGAAGTATAGGGTACAGCCTGACATTTACAGTAGAAATCACAGAGTCATTTCAAATAGATTTCTCACTGGATATTTTGGGTGGGTGTACTTGTGTCATTAATCCTGTGGTAAACATAACTTGACTTTACTTTTAACGCTTTGCTACTATGTAAACTGCACACTCTCACACCCCAGAAGATCTTATTTAGAAACTTATTAAAAACGTAATATATTTTCCAAAATACGTTGCTTCACTGTCATTAATCAATAAATCCTCTCCTGTGGCCTCATGGGATAGTAAAGTGTCTATCGTATGCACACTTCAGAATCTCATCAGGCACTTTTTGGCTATTCTTTTATGAGTACTGTGAATTCATACTTCTTTTGTCACTATAAAGTAGGGAAGTATGCAATTTGAGATGCAGCCACAGTCCTATAGGAAATCCTCAAGGGAACCAGAGCCGTATTATTATTCCATGTTTTGACATCATCCCAGCATCAAAATTACAGTATTTATTTATAACAGTATTTATTAATATTTAGCGTTTATTTTTATATTTCCTGTTTTCAATGTAATTTTAGTTTAAGTTTTAATACATTTTATTTTTATATGTAGTTTCATTTCCCCCCATCATTTTACTTCAAATTAAACTTATTTTTTATTTGCACTATTTGAATTACAATCATATGAACTATTCTACTGGTTCACAAGGAAATGTTAACATCACCTAGCCTATAGCAAGTAGCATGTGCAATTCCACCCAGCGGCTTCAAAGCTTCAAAATCAGTATCATAAATATCCTGTTTTGTCTGCTGTTTTGTCTTCTGAATAAAGAGGATCCACATCTGTGTCAGTTCAGTTTTCAAGTGATAAAGTCATTTTTGCTTGTTTGCTTTCAAAAGGCATGCTACTATTGTGTAAATTAAACCACTATAAATAAAAATACCACGTCAACATTCAAAGCAGGCTACTATAGCACATAAATACAATGATCATTCAGTACCCGTGTATATATTGTAGTTCAATGATTTTACCATCGCTTTCCATTTTTGCGAGGGTCAAATTAGCCATTGTACTGCAAAGGCATGTGGATGCTGTGGGTCAAAAAATGTGCTTTACCACAGAAGAAAGACATATAATTGGACTTTGGACCAAATTAGCTGTATTTTGTCAACAGAACAAACAGATGTAGTTATCAGATGATCACTTTATGACTTTTAGATGGGTGTTATCAAATCACTTATAGCAACCAAACTGTATTTTGAAATGTGTCGATTCAACACACTGAACACACACGCCACAGCGCCCTCATCTGTCTGAAAAAGAAATGACAGCCAACAGCAATTCGATCGCTCATTAGCACAATTTCAAGGCATTGCGAGGTTCAAGAGTCAAGAAGACACAAATATAGCACTGATGTATACAATTATGTATATATATTTGTTAAAATCACAATCGCTTATGGAAAGCTGATAGTGTCACATCAGAGAGCAGAATCTTCAAATCTCTAATGAGGATGAGAGCATATATCTTGGCTCCACATTTAAAGCTGTTGGTGAAGTGCATGAGAGGGCCTTTCATCTTCAAACACACTCGATGAGCTAATCGTCAGGCTCTGACTTCATGGTGAATGGTTAATTATGGGGTTAGAATTGTTGCATTATTCCATATAAATAGACTGAGATTCATAAATAAATGTAAAAAGATTCACAAAAAACAAAAATTAAATAGATTAAGATCCACAAATAAATGTAAAAATAGTCACAAAACATTATAAAATTCACAAATAAATTTTGGGGCACTTCTACGGCCCTGATGGTACAATGCAGCGCCAGGCGCGGTGTAAGTATTTTGTTTTGCCAGTTTCAGGCCGAAGCAGTCATCATTTTCACAACCTGTGCTACGTTGTTTAAATAGCAAATGCATTTGTGCACCAATGGGAGAGCTGGTCTGAAAACGAGGTGTGTTCAGGCGCATTGTTGGCAGGTTGCAAAAGGACGCAATCTCTTTACATTTATTTTCGGATCTTTATTTATTTGTGAATTTGATTAATTTGTAAATTTCTTTACATTTATTTGTGAATATCAGTCTATTTATTTGGAATAATGCAACAATTCTAACCCCATATTTAAATGAGATAGTCAACCCAGTGTGGCACACTAAATGAAGTGTTTCACTCCACTAATCAGCAAGAAGATTCGCACAATGCCCATCAGACAGCTAATTCCTCAATCCTCTTGTCGTTATTAAGACTTGATTAGAGGGAAATTATAGCATGAAAAATAAACAAGATACAAATGTTAATATGTTAATTGCTCTCCCTTGGCCCTGAAACAGGCAGATTAGAACAATCATTCACAAATCCTATCAATCTAAAACAGAATTACAAACATGAGCAACAAGCGTGCATGTTTGTTTTCAATCATGATGGGGACTATGAAATGACTGCTTTTGTTTTTATACTGAGCTGATTTTCTATCATCATACCCCTGAGACAAAAGACATTATTTAGCAGGTTTATTAGGTTTTTACTGTTAAATGAAGTACATACTACACTAAAATTAATATTCACATGATTAAATTCTGAAAATAGTTATTTTCATGTTATGACAAATAATAGTACTGGACCAATTTTGTCTAAATAAAAAAATATAAAGCAGTAAAAACCTACAATAAATCAATGTATTATTTATTAATTTTAATAGGCTATTAATTTTGAGATTTGCTTAAGACTATATTTAACAGCTATTAAATTCAATTTGCATTAAAGATTCAATTTAAGTGAGAGATTATAGCAAAAATCTAAATGTAAAGATATGGGAAATAAGCATTGAATTAAATATTCAATTTTTAACAATACATTTGTAAATTCTCTAATATCAGCCGATAACTGTTTTGGAACCGATATATTGCGCACATGCACACACTAATGGATATTCATTTTAGGATTTGCTAAAGATCACATTTAACAGTTTAAATATTCAAGCTCAAACAATAGAAATAAACTATATCTAATAGCAATTGATGACTATGGCACCGATATATTGTGCATCCCCAGTACTTTCACAGTCATACACTGTAAAAAATTATGTTGAGTATACATGTTTTTGAGTCATCTTCAGTTAAAGATTCAGTTTATTTTTTAAAGTCATTTTAATGTAATTTAAGTGAATATGACTAAAAACATCCAAGAATGACTTCAAAATTTAAGGCAGCAACTTTTTTACAGCGTACGCTTATTCTCTTTGACCAAGCCTATGCGCATTCAATCTTTGCTCACATAAGTGGCATCACAAAGACGTGCTTTAAATAAACATATATATTCTCAATACGCTTCTGTAGTTGGCATGTGTATGAATAGTCCAGAGCTCTTTTATGTGGCACATACCTGTAAGTAAACAACCTGATTGTGAACACAGGGGGGGGTGCAAGAGCAGGGATCAGACAGTGCCTGAATGTCACTGTCCCAAATCTGCCCAAACCTGTTTTGATCAAACATTGTGCTTCCATGCGGGAACAGAAATGACTCAAGTGTGTAACCTGGAATCATTTCATCAGCTCGGACACAAAGACGATATAAATTTGTGTTGGAAAATATATGTTTAATGTGTTTTCTTTAAATGGTCCAGAAAAACCATTCAAGTGGCCACCCTAGTGTGATGTACCAGCGAACACAAAATAAACGCAAGACGATAGAGATTTATTTTGCTTAATAGGATTTTGTTCTCAGATTAGTCCTGCTTTATTCTGGTGGTCTAGTTTGACATGATTCCTGCCACCAGAGGGCTGATGGCACACTTGTAGCTGCTTTTAAGAAACAGCAGGGGGAGCTCTGGGCACGCACGTTTTTATGTAGAATGGGGGATAGAAAGGTTTCAGGCCACAGGCCATCTAATTGAGGGATCTGCCATGACCTTTCTTGGTCAGAGGGGAAATATCAATGACAAAGCATTATTCCATTTGACATTTCTATTATTCTCCTCCAATATTCACATGGATAGTTTATTTGTTGTTTTTGTTGCCAACAGCACTATAGTGCTTGGATTTCGGACATGGATGATTAAGTTTTACCTTGCAGTTTTTGAACTGGAAAAGTGTGGGCGTTTTTTTTTTACTTCAGATTTATTTTCTAATCTATGTTCTGTTAAACATGTTCCAGTTAAACATGTTTATGCATTAAAACATGTCTGGGCAAAATTCAGCTCTTCATTGTATACATCAGACATAATTGCAGTGGCTTTAATTGATTTGTTTCCATAGCAGAAGATTAGGTGGACCCAGATGTACCCTCGAGTACAGAGGTATCGCTTCCCTCTTTTGTTTTGCACTAATTCACAAGTTTATTGATGTCATTCCCGGAATGACCTTTTGCTATTACAGCTTTAATACAAAAGAGCTTAAAGCCCAAACAGATGGTTGCTTCATGGGTTGAGGGACAACTCAACGCCCTTGTAAAGCTGGTGCATTTCCCGTCCGCAATACTACTCATTTTAGCAACAAAAATATACTGTATGCCACGATGGAAACAGAGGGTCCCTTTACATTCCCTCAGCACAGATATCAAATCACTGGTTTCTTTTTCTTTTTTCCGTGCATGTGAATAGAGAAGGACCATAGTTAAAAAAAAAAAGAGAGCGAGAGAGAGAGAGAGA